ATCCCCTTGCATGGGATCCCTACCCGGCTGGGCTCTACACCAGGTTTGGGATGTGAGCCCAGCCCTGCTGTAGACAACTGAAAATGATCTGTGATTTGGCACTGCGGTAACCCCTGAGTAAGTCTAAGGGGGTGTTTCAGAAGCCCCAAATCTAACCTCTCCGCTGTTGTGTTCCTAAGCCCTTTCCAGCACAGAGCGGCTGTTGGCAGGATGTGGCGGGGAGAACAACATGTTCCTGGAATTGTCTCCAACCTGCCCACTCTCCTCTTCCTATGTGACACTGTGGGAGAGAGGGGAAGAGGCAGAATTAAATGTTCAGCCAGTATTTATGAGGGCAGCGCCAGCAAAATACAAGCAGCTGGGGCAGCTCTGCCCTTGCAGCTCTGGCCGCGCTTTCATTTTCCATGGCAGCTTAACGTGCGTGCAGACCTTTTGTTTTTTTAATGCCCTTTGAACCATGCTCGAAGCCAAGCCCCGCTCTGCTCGCTTGCTTTGCGCCAGTGCCTGCGCGCTGTGCGAGGAGGAGCAGGGCTCTGCCCTGCGCGGCGGCAGCGCCCGTGGCCCCGCTGCTCTGGCTGGCTCTCCCGGCGAGGCTGCCGGCGTCCTGCGAGCTCACCTCAAGCTCGTGGCGCGGGAGGAAGTGCTGCACTGCCTGCTCTGCCCCAGCTCGGCAACAACCTGCTGAGCTCTGCTGCAAGGGCCCTCCGGAGCTGCCGCGTGTCCATCACGCTAATGGGGCTTGCCTAAAAGAAATTACAGGGCTCCAGAGGGAGCGGCTGCATGAGCAATAACTTGGATCAGAGCCTGGTTCTTTAATCGAAGCGGCGTTAGGATCTCGCTCTGCAACCTTTTCTTCCTCCCGCCCTTCTCCTTGGCTCGAGCGGGGCTTGCTGCAGCGCCGCAGGTTGCCCAATGTGCATCATCCCCAGTGGATCATCAGTAATGGCAGGATTCGCTGCCAGCTGCAGGGCCTGGTGCCACGGCTCTCAATAGCTACGTGTCTGCACCTCGTGCACAAGAAGGGTAAGGAAAGGATCACACCCACTGTCTTAAAATCCAGTTGCAAAATACTCACCCGCAAGACTTTGAAGCATAATTACAGCTTGACCTATATGGCAGAGGAGTGGCAGTAGAAAGGATAGATTAAAGATGACCAACTTTGCTCACATGTGCTGACTCTAATGAGCAGCAAACAACACACTGATGTAGCATTATGTGAGGACTTGCTTGTTGCCACCTTAATGAAAAAGCCTGGCTGAAGGTGAGCCAGGACGGTTCTACCATCAGAGCAGAGCAGGTGCTTGCAAAGCATTGCTTTTCTTGACCTTTTCTGAAGATCAGAGGTTTCCTCTGGATACCTAATTAGCATAATTCAATTCCTCTTAAAACCAACTGAGTTTGACTTATCTTTTCCTAAGAAAGCAGAACTAATGAACTTGAATTGCGTTCATTAGAGTTTCCTTCGGTTGGGCAATGCTACCTAAAAATAGGCACAAGGGATCTGCTGTGCTTTTGCTTCTTAGCTCTGGCAAGTGTGTGGTTTGGGTTATTAGTGAAAATACTTTCCATGGTAACCCTCTGCTACCCTTTCTTTCCATACAGCATCAGTAATGAGCCTCTTGATGAACATGTTCACCTGTGGGCTAAGGGATATGCTGAACTTACTGCAAGTGACAAAGAAGTAGGTTGAGAAACTCACGTGGGTGTCTGCGCTGGGCTATTTGAGGTATATCAGATCCCGCCCGCCTGTAGGAAAGTTTGCCCTCTTTCATCCTGCGGAGAGACAGGATCATTTTTTTCTCCAAGAAGCATGACCTCAGCGGGCACTTGCCTTTGGATGATTTAGAGGATCTTGAGTAGAACACCTGTCTGCCCATGCTAAAGAGGGCATTTTTCTCCAGCTTTGTTGACACCTTTTGCCCCTTGCATCCATGCTACAGACACGCTACAGACACCTCCTGCCACGCTCCTTGATGGAGGACAGTCCCCTCTAGGCTGTGCTGGAGGGAGCCCAGTACAACCAGCTGTTAAGATCACAGACATGAGCAAGGTGCTTTTCGGGAAGCTCTTTCCTGTTGCCACACTCCAGCTCCAGTCCAGTGCCCGTGGTGGTGATTCGTTCCCCTACCCGGAACCACTGATGTTACGTGACCATCAAGGCACTGGTTCTCTTTTCCCAGAGGGAATTGCCAGTGCACTTTGTCACCAGCAGGGCTGGGCCTGTGCTGTGCAGGTGAAGTGGACTACACTGATTTACCATGTCTACCATATGCTTGGTCACACACTGGCCTGGTGCTTAGAGCAACAGCTTCTCCACGGAGAGGGACCTGGGAGTCCTGGTTGACACCAAGTTAACCATGAAGCACCAGAGCCCTCGTGGCCAAGGAAGCCAATGGGCTCCTGGCTGCATCAGGAGGACGTTGGCAGCAGGTCAAGGGAGGGGATCCTGCCCCTCTGCTCAGCTCTGGGGAGGCCAAACCTGGAGCACTGGGGGCAGCTCTGGGCTCCCCAGGACAAGAGGGATGGGGAGCTGCTAGAGAGGGGCCAGCGCAGAGCGAGAGAGATGAGGAAGGGACTGGAGCATCCAACATATCTATCCATCTGTCCATCTACCTGGAGAAGAGAAGACTGAGAGGGGATCTGCTCAATGTGTATAAATACCTGAGGGGAGAATGGAGGGAGGAAGGCACCAAACTCTGCTCAGTGGTGGCAAGACAAGGAGCAATGGGACAAGCTGAACCCCAGGCAGCTCCATCTCCATGTGGGGAAGAGCTTCTTTGGTGTGAGGGTGCCCGAGCCCTGGCCCAGGCTGCCCAGGGAGGCTGGGGAGGCTCCTGCTCTGGAGATCTCCCCAATCTGCTGGGATGGGACCTGGTGCCCCGTGCTCTGGGTGTCCCTGCTGGAGCAAGGGCTGGGCTGGGCGATCCCTAGGGGTCCCTTCCAACCTCAGCCATTCTGTGATTCTCTTTTCTCTGAGATGTTGGGGGAGGACACTGGAATTGGGAGAACACAGGATTCAAGAAGATATAGTACATTTAGATTGCTGCAACCTTTGTGTGTGTGAGGCTTGGGCTCTTTAGCCTGCATGGGATTGCTGCTCCCCTCACGGCTCTTTGAATGTGACATATTAGCAGCAGCATTACAGTAGACACATTGCTGGCACCTTCAAAAGTAGCATCAGTTTCTTCTTTTTCACGGTAGCAAGGGCCTCTGCCACTTGAAATGAGAGGAAAAAAAAGTGATGTGAAGTGAGTCAGCTCAGCCGAAGCCAGGAGAGGTGATGGTGCTCTTACATCCAGCTCCTCTGGGCATCCAGGAGTGCTGCTCCTCCCAGCAGAAGGGTGTGCTCCCAAAGCCACGCTGCAAAGCTGCAGGTCTATCCTGCGTCTCTCTCCTTTGAAGTGCAACGTGGTTTGTTATGAGCTCGGAGCCTGACTAGCTGACATGATGCAATACCCTCTGAAAGAGATAGGAGCTTTCCTTCTGCTCCTCATGAGCTTAATTAGAAGACACTTACTTCCGGAACTGGAAAAGTCTCTTAGTCTCTTTGTGGTGTTCATCAGAGATGCCAATTGAAAGGTTGTGCAGGAACCAGCTATTGCAAAAGACACCACATTGAAAAATCAAAATGTTTATCAAACAAAACAGAAAAAAATATCAGGAGGGACATCTGCAAGCCTCTGAGAAGGATGAGAAGCAACATAGAGCTGAGACGTGTGTGCAGAAAAGGCAGCAGCAGGACTGGGGCCCAGGGAAGTGAACAGCTGGGGTGAGGCCTTGCAGGAGGGATCTCCTCCCGCTCCTTCCTTGCCTTACCTTGATTCTCACTGGTGCCTTAACCTGCGTTGTGGGTAAGGAAGAGCTGAGGTGATAGTCTGGGGGCTGAAGCCAGAAAGACTCTTTTTCCACTGTCTCTTCTGTTTCACCATTAGCTGCCCTCTTGGAGCCTGACTGAAAGTCATCCAGGGAAGAGTGACTGTGAGCGCTCTCCTCCTCATTACCAACAGGGAGATACTGGGAGACAGTGAGAACAAAACAGCCTTCTGGAGTTCATTTTGGAGGGTCACATCCCCCTACTTCAGAGTCAAGCACCAAGCTTACCCCAGGCAGCATTTGGAAACCTCAGGCCGAGCCCTCCCAAACATGGCAAAGCCATCAGACACGGTTACTCGCAATGGCTCCTCATGTCCCTCCTCGGCCCTGCGCCCGCCCTGCGTATCGGAGCACAGCGCGACAGCGAGGCCCACGTGAGGCTCCGAGCGCATCTGCCAGTAGCGTGGGCTGGTCTTCACTGCCGTTGGCACCTCACTTGAGCATCAGGGTTTGTGGCTGACGCGGCTTTGTGTAGGTGTCCTGAGGCCGAGCAGTTATTTAGGAGTGAAGAGATTTCTTTTGGCCCCTTGGGATTAGGATCATTCACAAAGACATCCAGGTAGATCTAAGTGTGAAACATGTGGCAAGGAGAAAACAAGGGTTTTAAGTAGTGCTGGTTTTAAATAGTCACCTCACCTGTTCAAAAGCTAAAGAAATACATTTCATGTTTTATTTCTTTCCCCACTCCCTGCTCAGAAGGAGATACAGAACTTCCAGCTATAATAAACTGGAGGAAACTGTGGCAAGCAGTCTTTGCACGCATGGGGATTTGCAAAGCCTCAAAGAGGCCCAGCGAACAGGAGAAGTTTAGAAGAGCCGCAGAGGCAGCGTCTAATGTGGTCGAGTCTGTCTGTTCGTGGCTGTGCAACGAAGCAATGAGCTCTCAATTTGGATGAGGTCTGAGATGAGCGACCAGCCAGATCATGAGCATGGGGCACAGCTGGTGACTGCCACGACCCACAAATGGGGCTGCAGAGTCTTGAGGCAGCCAAAGTCTCCTGATGGCATTTGCTCTCTTTCTCCAGCTGAACTGTGTTGCAGCTGAGATTGCAGTACAGGTAGCGTATAAAAGGGTTCATGGCCCCTCTCAGAACTTTACTCTGTGGTGCTTTTACAGCAGACTGTGGTGAGTGTTTCTGGAGGGTCTGAACCATGTCTACGTCCCTGCATGCTTCCCCTGGTGTTATCAGTAAGTGGTTATTCTGCTTATTAATAAGCAGAACAATGCCAGTTCTGCCTGTGTTTGAGACCTCAGGCATGCGGGCACACCTGGGTGCTGCTCGCCCATGCACTTCTTTGTGTGCAGGCTGGCATAATGCTGCCAGGGCAGGGCTGAGGCTGCCACGAGGGTGACGGAGGAGGTGGGGAGTGTCGGCTTGTGCTAAAAGGAGAGCTGATGAAGGGCCCAAGCTGACTCAGCTGCTCTGGCTGTTCCTGGTTTCCATGAAAACTCAGGGAATCTCCTGGGCCTAAGAGGCTCTAATGCTGCAGCAGGGTGAGTGGACATTTCTTTTGGGAAGATACTTTTAGGTATCTTCCTATACTTCAGGAGATACCTACATACTTTAGGGGAAATAGCCAAGAAATGCTGTAAAAGCATCCAGACTGCTTCTTGGTGTAGGTTTTGCAGTCTTGCTGGGAGAGGGCATGCCAGGCAGCCTGCACTAATGATCAAGGCAGATGAGTGTTGCAGCAGAGCTGCTTCTGATGCCACGTAACCCCCTGTCAGGAAGGGTGAGTCAGGGCACCCTTCTCTCTGGGGTGTTTTTGGTGGTATTACTCATGCACATGTTAAAGCAAAGCAATTATGGAGGAGGCTGGTGAAATGATGACCAGCTTCTACATTAAGAAACATATCATGGAGGTCTTGTTACCTATTGGAGCTATGTAATGAAGTATGGATGCACACCTGCACTTCCAGGACCTGGAGGTCAGATTTGGTTCTGCCCTTAACTACCTGTGCCAGTTTAGATTTAACAGCTGGGATTTGTAGAAAAAGCCTGTTCAGATAACTAGCATCTGCTTGTGAATCTAATCTACTTGTCTGATCTCACTATAACAGCAGTGTGTGGGCTCCTCTGTAGGTCCCCATTACATGAGGTGGCACCCCTGGGCCTTGTGGCAATGCATGGCAGCAGAGCAGCATGAGCAGAGCATGGGGAGCAGAGCATGCCCCTGGCACCACCATCCCACATATCCATCCCACAGCACCCTGGCTCAGGGCTGCTCATAGTGTTAGTGATTTACGTGTTTGGGATGTGAAGGCACTTCCTCTGCAGCTGCTCGGGGCTGCTGCCTCGTGCTGGAGAAAGTAGTTCCTGAAGCGATCCACGTCAGGAAGGAAGCCATTTCCTAGCCCGGGGTCTAGGACAATATAGGACTTGAATGAAAGCTCTCGGGGAAGCCGATGGGGGATCCCGGTTGGTGTTCGCTGCTGCAGGGTGGTGACTGTATCCTATGGGGCCAGCAGGGAGAGGAAGGGTGCAGGCTGCTCATGGGTGAGGGCAGCTTTGCCAAACCTTCCCAAACCAGCACAAATGATCTCGAATATCCCATGCTTGGTGCTGTGACTCCAGCTGGACTTGAGTTGGCACAGTCTGTGCTGCTCCTTCAAACTCCATCAAAGCCAGGCCAGCTGCCAGCTTCCCTCTCCCACAGGCACAGCTCACGGAGGTGGATTTACAGAATCACAAATTTACTTATCACACATTTACTTATTATTTTTTCTCCCCTTATTATACCTTGGCACTGAGGCAGTGCAGGCCAATGACACCAGCAAAATGAAGAGCCTGGAGCTGCATGAGCTACATGCACTTGAGCCTGCGCTGGAGCATGGGCTATCACGTGCAGTGCAGGGGACATTTCTCCCTGGCCTGTCCCTGTCTCCATGCTGCATTCTGCCCTGGAGCTGAATCAGCACCATTTCTGAGAGGACTAACAGAGGTACAAGTGAGACCCCAACAAATGCATCATTCCTTGCAGTCTGGGTCAAGGAGCAACTCGTCCTGGCATCACCTGGTGCAGTCTGAGGCCATGGGCAGCCCAGCTGAGCCACATCAGACTTTGACATTTCTCTTAATTGCAGAGCATTACCACCAATTACTTGATGCTTGGAGAGAGGAAAGGACATTCTTTCCTCAAATGCAGAAGGATCCTGCTGAGTCAGCTGTGAGTGCTGCCTTTTGGGTAAGGAAGACCTTGGGTGGGTAGGGCAGGTGTTTCTTTTTGTCTAGAGACCCCACAGGATTGGTAGATGTGTCCCTGGCTGGGCTTGTTTGAAAGATCTAGCGTGGGTGCTGGTTGTGCCAGGGAGCCTTTGAAATAGCTACATTTGAACACAAAATTTGGCAAAACTTATTTCACTTTGTTTTTTCCGTTCCCTTTTTTTAAAGCCTTAAATGAAAAAAAAAAAAAAAAAAAGTCCTTGCCTTGGGTCAGATGAGCTCTCACCACCTTTTCTCAGTGGTGTTTTTGTTCTCACTGCCCTGCATTCCTCACACTGCCATGTGTGCTTTGCTTCCCCCTTCCCCCTTCGTGCCCTGGGAGCACATGTGAGCAGGGAATGGATGATGATGCTAAGCAACCCCTGCACAAGCAGATATGTTTTTTAGGGAACTACTGTAGAGGCAGGAGAAGTGAAGCTAGGTGGAAAAATCCCTTCATGCTTTTTGGGTGGTTCATGCTGGTTAAACCACTGCACCTTTAGATTAGCATCCAGATCTAAACTAGTTTTTTCCTCATATATGAGAAAAGTGGAAATATATGGCATATACCTGCCATTGGCTATATCTGCTATACAGACCTAGGTATACACCTAGAGCTGCTGGAACGTTTTTTACTGTCTATAGAGACAACCGCGGTTCATAGGCTGCTGCCTGCCATGGGTGGTGGATGTTGATGGGCACCAGCAGCTCGTGCACACTGGTGGTTGTGCTGAGGAGCATTTGCCCTTGTTCCACATCTACAGACTGGGATATGAACAGGGCATCTGACTGCTGTGCCCTCCCCAGGCTCACTGCGTGCTACCAGGATGCAGCATGTACCCAGGGCCGTTGGGGACATCCTGTCCCTCCTTCTGCAGGAGGACTTGGCGCTTCTTGGCAAATGCAGCAGGGTGCAAGGGACTGATTAGAACTCAATAACCCAGCTATTGCACAGGCCACCCCACTCCACCAGCCACGTAATCTGTTTTGGAAGAACATCATCAGTGGAGAGAGTGTATAGTGGTGTTTGGCCCTTGCCTTGTGGAGGTGGTGGTAACCTCTTGCTCTCACATGAGTGGTGACTGCCTTAGCTTGTCTTCTGGACCCACAGGAGAAAGCTCAGAGAAACCAGTGGAGATGGAAAAAGCCCAAGTTGTGAAGAGGTTGGCTTTTCATGTGAGTGGTGACGCAAGTGTCGCACAGAAGCGTGATGGATACGCACACACCATCTCAGCAAGATGCTGCTCTCCAGGTCCCTCCCAAGAGACTGCTTGTCCAGGGGACACCAAGGACTTGTGCAATGGTGTCAGTGGCCTTTTCTGACATCCAGCATGGGTTTGTTTAATCTCTGGAGCTTTATGTCTGTCACTGGCATGTTGCCCCACAGTCTGCTGATGCCACCTACAGTTATGGGGAGATGCAGACGATTGGCCTGGCAAAGCAGAGTTGCAGACAGCCCAAAAGCCAGGGCAGACTGAGAGCTGCTGTCTAGAAGAACAGGAAGGCAATATCTTGCAGATATAGGGTCAGTCTGTAATGCAGTCCAATGCTTATTCACAGAACAGGTCCTGGCCCCAGAGCCAGAGACCTGCCCTGCTCATGTACCCGTAGAAAATCTCTTGGAGTAAATCATGCGCATTGCAAATGGCTGCTGTTGTTTAGATGGACGTGAGACAGTTCAGCCTGGAACTGAGTTCAGCCACTCAACTCTGTAAATTTAATGCATGCAAATGCTGCTGAAGATTTAATGGGAAACACAGTGGAGAAAAATAAAGACAGACCTTTTGAGGTCTTGGATGCTGAGAGTAATATTTGGGTTTGGTGACTCTCTGTATCTTAGAGATGGGAATGCAGCAAAGCTCTTTGAGTCCTGAGTGTACATGGAGCCCGACAAGCTTGTGGGCTAATATCAACAAACCTTTTGGACAAGCAGATCCTGTCTGCTCCAGCAAAGCTGCGGTGTTATTTTTCTTTTAACAATCGTATTGAGACAATAATTATGCTGTGCAGATTGGTCAACCCTGGCCTACATGATTTATTAGGAAACAAACAATTACAGTGGCTGAAAAAAAAAGAGCTTTGGACATAAAAATCTATTTTTTTCTCTTTATTTTTATTTCCCCCCCACCCCCTTTGAATTCCTCAGGAACTAAAGAAAAGGCCACCTAGCTTGGTCCCTGGAGAGGGGTTCCCTCCCTGACTGCATTTCTTATTAGACCACCAACCAAAACTGTACTTGCTGCTTGAATACTCAGTAGCTGGTGGAGAAGGAGGGAGGACAGGAACTGAAGCTACAGCGGGTGGAGGCGAGGCTGGGAGGGAAGGTGATATGAGCCGTAGAATAACATTCCCAGCTAGAGGAGCAGAACGGGCCTGGAGGAGGAGACCCGCAGTCGTTCCTCGCTGTCAGTGACTTGAGGCCAAGTTGCTTCCTCCCTCTGCGCCTCCCTTCCTCTCCATTTATCCTATTTATTGAGTGTAAAAGCTATCGAGGGTGGCGCTACTTGCTGTGCGTCTGCTGTGAGAGCACCCGTGGGTCCCGATCTGGCCCCGTTCCTGCAGGTGCCTCTGAAATACAAGCATACGAGCGAGCCCTCCCTGCCGGGCCCTGCACTGCCCCAGCACACATGCTGTGGGCTTCATGAGGCATGAGCTGCCAGGGTGGCTTTGCTGGTTGGTTCTGGGGCTGCAAAGGGTTCTTGTAGCTTGGTGGATGGTTTGTTCCTCTTAGGGGCATAGAGGAGTGGCGTGGATGTGCTGGAGGGGTCTCTCTTGGTCCTGGAGGCCGGGAGAGCCCAGCTGTTGGTACCAACCATGTGCCCTGGTCTCTACTGCTGCCCAGGTTGTCCTGTGCACCGTTGTCCCCAGCTGGCCAGCTCGGGGAGGCCGTAGGGACTCCGCAGCCACGTGCTGCGCTGGTTCGGGGATGGTCCCGGTTCTCAGTGCCCCAACACAGGGCTGCTGGGCCCAGGCAGTGCAAGGCCTGCGGTCTGGCTCCTGCCCATGGTTTGGCTGGAGTAGAGGACAGCTCTGGAGCAGCTTTTTGCTGCCTCCTCGCAGAGTGAAACTGGTGGAAGGGAGGCAGAGCATCTCCCTGGAGCCAGCGGCGTTCCGCTTAGCCGCCAGCGGCTGCAGACGAGGATGAGTTATTTGGTTTACAGAGCCGGGCATGGTGCTGTTTCTGGAGAGCGCTGGCAGTGGCCCAGCCTCCTCATCCCACGCTGGGTTTCACCCTCTCCCCAGGAGACCCAGGCACCTTGGGGACTGGGGCGGCTGCCAGAGCCCGGCTGCTCCCCTGCATGGGAGCAGCAGGTCTCCAGGGTGGAGGGATGTGGCCTTCTCGGAGTGGGAGGTTTCCAGCCCGCTGTGGCCTCCTGAAGGCTGTTGAAAGCCCTGTGGGAGATTCTGGTGTCTGCACCCTCACACAAGAGCACTGTTCTTCCTCTGTGCCCAGCATGGTCATTGACCAGGAGGGCTGCCTGATGAGGGGTGGGCGGCGTGGCCGAAGCTGGTGCTGCCCTCAACAACCAACCGTCCTCCAAGGGCTGAAGAAGCAGCGGGTGGGGGAGCAGCCTTGGCAGTGAACGTGGCCAAGACCGGCCGTGTGAGTGACCAATACCATCCCTGGCTGCCTTGCTTCTAGCAGTGCCCAGGCAGATTTTTCTCTCATTTCCAGCTGCCCCTGTGGCTTCATATTGATGATCACAGAATCGCAGAATGGTTGAGGTTGGAAGGGACCTCTAGTGTCATCTAGTCCAACTCGGGTGAATTTTTGAAGTCGCCAGAGGAGGAGGCTCCGCAACCTCTCTAGGCAGCCTCTTGATGGGCACAGACTGCTGAGAACCCAGTTCACACTGCCCAAGGTGTGGGCATATCCTGGAAAACTGTAGGCTCATTCACCAGGTAAAGGGAGGGGAGGCTGCATTGAATCCATCCAGCTCCAGCTGTTATTAAATCGGGGATTTATGGCAATCAGCTCTGATTCATTCTCCAGCTGAAACACAGGCATTTTGCATTTGCCTGAAAGGATGAAGTTTTTAAAGCTGCTGCCCTTCTGACTGTTTTTTTCCTCAAAAGGCTTAGCTACCCTCAGCTCCCGGTTTTAAAGAAAAATAAAAGAAAACAAAACAAAGCATGGGCAGGCGGGTTGTTTTTCTTTTGTAATCTTTCTGTTCTGGGCCTTGAGTGAGGACAAAAAGGTTGCAGTGAGTCAGTGCAAATTAGCTATATTCAGTTATTGCAGGGGACTAGCTGAGGTCTGGGTAATTGCTGCATTTCGTTCCTTCCCTCTTGGGTTTCACTGACATTTTGGATAGTAAATGAGCAGTTCCTTTCCCTCTACAGATGTTTTCTGTTGGTCATAGTTGGGAAGAGACCTTAGATGCTAAATCCATATGCTTCATTTGTGGTTTCTGTAGGCTCATTGAAATAAGCCCGGGACACGAAATTTGCTCAATTCTGACTGCTCCTGCCACTGAGGAGTGTGGGGTGGATGGTGAAGGTAGTGTGAAGCCCTCCATGAGGTGCTGTGAGAGCACAACTGTCCACTATCTCCAGTGCATGGAGAAGAGAGGAGGGAGAGAAAAGTAACTGTAGTGGCCAGACCTGTCCATCACATTCCTAAAGTTTCTGTGACTGAAGGATGCCAGGGTGCTTGGCTCCTCACCCCAAGCTCTTGCCAGGTCGGCTCAAGTACCGACCTTCTGGAAGAGCACAGTGGGCCTAGGCCAGAGAGGCTGCCAGAGGAATTGAACGGATCCGGTTGTAACTACCCGGCTTGCTTTCACCCTCAACCTATTTCTGTCAGCACTGGAAAACTGCAGGCAAGGGGCCACCTTGTTTAGATGGAAATGCTCGCAGGTGCAAACCATCCTCCTCGAGGTCACAAGGAGGGTCGGCAGCGCTGGGCCTCCTCTGGAGCCAGGAGTGGAGACCTGGACGGGAGCAGCAGCGCGGCTGCCGTGCCAGGACTGTGTGTGCTCACGCCTTGGCTGCTCGCGTCCTAGCTGCACGTCTCTGCTGCGGCCTTGGGCTCCAGCTTTCCAACTGCTTGGATCAGCACGTTGTGTTAGACGCAGGCCAAACCTGTACTCTAGGCTTTGAAGGAATGGAAATGCAGCTTTTGCTACGCTGGCTGGTTTCTCTCCTAGCCCAAAAAGAGGAAAAGAGATAAATATGTGCTCACATGTACACGAAGTGTTGCGATGTCCATATTGATATGTGCGCTACAGGGCGTTCTTACACCTAGAGCAGCATTACCCATGAGTGTTAGGTAGATGAGGCCAGGACCTTGGGGATTTGCCTTGCATTTTGTGTACCTTGTGGCAGAGCTCACTGCAGATGCGTCCATCCAACACTGCCCTCTCCGTACTTGCGAGCAGCAACATCTTTCCACTTCCAAACTGCTTAAGCTTCTTGGAAGGTCACAAAATGCTTCTGGGCTTCCAGGCTTTCACTGCGAGTTGTCCCCATGGAGCTTCCATGCAGAACTACACACACAAGGCCTAAATGTCCCTCACAAATGTCCTGCTGTGGGGAAAGGCTCACATCAAGTTTGTGTTGTATACAGGTTTTCTGCTGGCTAGAGAAGCTGCATCATCTTCCCTGATGCCTGGGTGAAAACCAAGAAGCAACTAGAAGAGAGCTATGACGTGTTAATGAGCTCCAGATATTTGAGGTAAGTTACTGTGTAATGGGAATAGGTCTGCACTCCACTGTGCCAGAATATGAAAGAGTCAAGTCTCCTGTGTCTTAAAATCTATAAGTACTAAAGTTATAAATAAAGCCTAGATGCCACTGCATCTTTAGATGAGACAAGCTCAGTCTGCCTTTGCTGTGGACTAGTTCAATGGGAACATAAAGTAACTGTGAGGCTGTTGTGATTTGGTGGACTGCAGCTTGAATGCCAGAGCCTTCCCAAGCCGTCCTGCAGGCTCTGACCTAGTCTCGTACAAGTTTCTAATGGAAAAGCAGTAGCCTGCAGAGGCACCGCGAGACTCGGCCACCCAGGGTTATGGGTGCGCTGCGGCTTCAAGACCCTCAGCTAGAGCCATGGAGCCTTAAGCCTAAAAATGGACAGTGGGAGCCAAGAAGCTTTTGAAGTTCCCTCAGTCTGTCTGAGAGGCAAGAGAGCCATGGAGCAGGGTTGTGAACCATGTCATTCTTTGTGAGAATGTTGCTTTTACAATTAAAACCCACACAAACCCCCAGCTCCCGCTGCAGCTTGTGTTACCCCAGCAAGATATCTGACATTTGAGACCGAATGGAAAGTCAAAGAATGTGAGGAATGTGGTGACTCAACATAGAGTTTATTATACCAATCCTACTGTTTAAGCCCATGTAATGTAAGATTGTTTTACAGCATGTGGCATGGCTCTTTGGGGCTAATTTATAAGCAAACAATAATTATTCAAATAGGATTTTTTTTCCCTAAGCCTACATAAACTTGTTATCTGTTTGGCAGCAGGAGATGCTGCGAATTAATGTGCACTTACATTTCTTGCATTGAGGTTATTTGCTTTTCCTGGAGCAGCTAAATGTATGTGTTGACTGTGAGGCCTTACTACTGAACTTGACCTGGGAGTGGCATGGAGATAAGCCAAATGTTAAGAGAAAAGGAGGTCTTTGTGTAAAGATGCCAGTATATTAGGTTGTGCTTCTAGGTCACACACTTGTTAGGGCTTCCTTCAAAGTGATAGATTCTTCTGCTAAAATTTACTGATGTCTGTTAAATCACAGGGTCATGAACTAGTGCATGTGCTGGAAATGGCTTGCCAAGGGGCCATGAAGGCAAGGCCTTGTGTCAGAAGACTTCCAAAGCAAATCGGATTTTCCA